GAAGATAATTCACCACCAACTGTGCTGGCTGGGGTTTCTGGGAGTTGCAGTTCACAAACATCCGAGTAACAAAGGTTAAGAACCACTGCTGTATTGCAACACAGAAAAATGTACTAGGTGATCTGTAATCAGCATCTTCCATGTTTAATTAAGAACAAAGATAATGAAGAAGATACATACATACATTTTATTATTATTACGGCATCGAGCCATACAAAATGAAGAAGATAAGCAGACTGTGGTTGAACTGGACCTCCAAATCTGATCAAATCTTTTAGTGGTATCAGCAGGAAGTGTTTTTAAACATTCTTCTAATGCTATATTCTCAGTATAAATGATGCCCACTACCATCCGCTTTTTGCCTTACTGGGGGAGGTGGGGGAAGTCAGGTATGCATCAGTGCCAGCCCTACCAGTAGGCAAAATGAGGCCTCGGTCAGCAAAAGCTGGGATGTGGCAGTTAAGCGTTAGAAAGTGGTGGCATATTCGCCATTGCAAATCTACCCACTGTCTTTAGGTACAGTGGAAGATGCTGCCCTATCATTCCTCAGCCCCGCCACCTTTTGTACATGGAATCATAGAATTTTAAAGCTGGAAGGGATCCTAAGAGTCTCTGCGTCTCCAATTCCCTGCTGATGCAGGAAATCCAAAATTAAACAATCCTGACAGATGGCTATCTTCTGAGGAAGGAAAAAGCCCACCACCACTATGGAACAGCGCTTTCAGGCATGACGTTTTTCCTAATGCTGAGCTGAAATCTTTCTCATAATTTGAATCCATTACTTGGTCCCCATCATTTGCAGCTCCAGAAGGCAAGCGTGTGCTGTCTGCCAAGTAATAGTCCTTCAAATATTTGAAGACAGTTTTCATATCGCTTTTAAATCTTGTCTTGTTCAAGCTAAACATACTCAGCTCCCTCGATCATCTCTCATTTGGTGATTTCCAGACCTTTTAATCATCTTAGACACCCTCCTCTGGACACATTCTTGCTTCTTGATATCCTTAAACCATGGTCCCCAGAACTGGACACAGAACTTCAAGTGACTGGAGCTGAACAGAGTGGAACTGTGACGTCCCTTGATTTGTATAACAAACTTTTGGTGATATAGCCCAGAATTCCCTTAGCTCTTTATTTATTTAGCAGTGACGTCATGCTGTTGTTGACTAAGCTTGTGGTCAACTAAGACCCCTAGATCCTGTTCACATGAACTACTTGCCAAGCCAAGCATCATCAGTTGTACATTTCTGCATCTGAACTTTTCTGTCCAAATATAGAACTTCACACTTGGAAGTTACATTCCTACACTTCTTGAAACTTACTGTTTGTTTTAGGTCAGTTCTCCAATTCTATCAAGGTCTTCTTGAACTGAAAGATAGGAACCGATGGATATAGTTCAGGGTTGTGCAGGTTCCTTAGGATCCATTGCGGGGGGGGCCTCCAAAGGGATAATGTCTTTGTATTTCACTTCAGGCATTGCAGATTACAGGCACACAGAAACAATGTCTGTCTTCAGCCAGGAAGGAACTATAATTTTTTATATAATTGTGTTTGGGGCTGTATGTGAGATCCTTTGTGACTGGCAACTCTTTCTCCAACAAGTTTGGGGGGGTGTTCTAATCCCCACATTCTTTACTAAATACTCAGCAGATCAACTATTTAACTCTTTGTCCTAAAATCTTCCCTGCTGTCAGTGTCAGACTTATGCAGGTCCTCTTCTTATTCCATTTTGAGAATGGGGACAATATTTTCCTGCCCTCAGTTTCCAAAGACCTCGCATGTCCTCTAACCATTCTCAAAGATGATGGATAGAGGCTGTGAACTTGTGTCCGCAAGATCCTTCTGTGTTCTTGGATGCAATTCATCTGGGCCTAGAGACTGGAAGGAATTTGAATTCATTTCAAGTTCCCATATCATGTTTTAACTTACTTTTGCTCTTTGCTCCAGGCAGCAAAATATTGTATCCTGAAATGATCCCAATCCCTACATGACTGGAAAGTGTAGACTTCTGGAGTGCATGGTCTGGAAGGAAAACTCCGACTTCAAACCTCCACTGCCTCGTGGCTATATCCCCTGATGAAAAGGGCTTCAAGAGTTAACCTTGAGGCAAAATCTGGAGCCGGAGTCCCGGAAACAGTTCATGTCATTCTGTCAACTCCTGCGACGTCACTGGAACCAGTTGTATTGGCTATTGCCTCTCCATTGGACTATTTCAGCGATGTGGAGAGGGGGGATTTGCTGCTTGGGTAACAGCCTATCCTCCATATTATTTTACCCAGGCTTTGTGTCCTGCATAGGACACTCCAGCTTCGCATATAGCGTCGAAACACCAGACGCTTTTCTAAGTCCTCCATACAGAGCATGTTACCATAGTCTCTCGAGACTGAATGATGCCTATGTATGTATGGTCTGCTTTTAAGATTCCAGGCACAAGACAGTGAACTACCTACACAGGGGCAGCCTGTCAAGAATGCAACCATCCCCCGTCCTGGTCCTGAGTCACCTTTGTACCTACCCCTATGCTGATGAACAGAGGACATTGGAACATACATATGTGCATGTTGAGAAAGTTGCATTCAGAACCAAAAGGAAGCTCCTCATTCTTTCACACAAAATCTGCTTTGGTTGACATCCCCTTCTTCATTTCAACATCCTAATGGGTGGGAAAGGCCTTTTTGTAATTTGTACTGTTAAAACATTTGGGAGTCAAACATTCTAAAGAAGTTTGCTAGTCCCATTCCTGTATTAAAAACCACTATCACTTTGTTTATTGTCTGTATTCTTCCCTGGTCACAGAATTACATAGAAAGATGTGTGCATTATGTTGCACTTTTATTATTTATTATTTTATGTCAGAGGAAGTGAATTTTGACCTACAAAGGTAAAGGTATGGGTTCCCTTGACAATTTTTGTCCAGTGGTGTTCGACTCTGGGGGGAGGTGCTCATCCCCGTTTCCAAGCCATAGAGCCAGCGTTTGTCCGAAGACAATCTTCCGTGGTCACATGACCAGTGCGACTTAGACACGGAACGCTGTTACCTTCCCACCGAGGTGGGCCCTATTTATCTACTTGCATTTGCATGCTTTTGAATCGCTAGGTTGGCGGGAGCTGGGACAAGTGACGGGTGCTCACTCCATCGTGTGGATTCGATCTTGCGACTGCTGGTCTTCTGACCCTGCAGCACGGGCTTCTGCGGTTTAGCCCACAGCGCCACCACGTCCCTTCCTCTTGACCTACAAAAGCTCACACTAAAATAAACAATTGTTCTTTTTAACGTGCTACAGTATTTTGCCCCTTTTATCTTATTACCTCTTTTCTTTTGGCAACATGCTGAGAGATACTAAGAAGGATACATATTTGGAAAAATTCTGGTCGATCTTCTGCAGATCACTCTGCTGTATCAGCCAATGGATCTGTGTTGATCTAATCCATCTAAATCTTCCCAGTTTCAGTGAGAGGACAGCACAGGATTATGGTAGTAGATAGTAATCATCATGAGCCGTCAAATCAGTTCTGACTTATGACTACTCTTGCAGGGTTTCTGAGGAAGAGGGTTCTCAGAAGTGGTTTACAATTCCCTTCTTCTGGGGGCAGCTTTCCGAAGGCCACACAGGCCGGCTCTGCTTGCAAGAGGCACAATGAAGAATCGAACTCCCAACCAAACCATTGTGAAGGCCACACAGGCCGGCTCTACTTGCAAGAGGCACAGTGAAGAATCGAACTCCCAACCAAACCATTGAGCTATTCAGCCAGCTTTACTTATTGGGAGTGAAACTCATACACAGTGCTCTGAACTCTGGAAGGCTGGAAAAATAGGTCACAGATGGCCCACCAGTTGTTGTCTGGCGACCCATTTTGTCTCTCTCCATTTTGCCTCTGTAGACTAAGTGATGAGAGTGGTGGTGCAGCAACATTTGGAAGGTCACAGTTTCCCCACCACTGAATCAGGTAATACCTGAACAGGTGTGAAGCAACGGACTGCAGAAGGATGCTCCTCGGCTGAGGCCGGAGGTTGCCTCGCTTCAAGATTTCAAAGGAATCTCTCCGGCCCCTTCGCTGCTGCCCCGGACCTGTTAAGGCCACAGCATCTGACAGGAAGGTCTGATTCTACGTTAGTTTCGACTGTTCACACAAACACGCCCAGCGCTTGATCCTGACCTAGGTCAGGCAGGCAGAGCCGAAAGTGTGTATTCAATCCATCGGCGGCGACATGGTCTTTAAGGCTGGGCAGTGTGCTGACGTCTGGTGATGTCATTAACTATAATGCCCCCCATCCACACAAGGTTCCTTCCTGCAAATCGGGGCTTGGTTTTGCACGCTTCAAGGCAGGCAAGGATGCTTGTGTTTCGTCCGTGTGAACGCTCCACGGAGAGGACGCGCGTCGCCCCTCTGGCATGCAACTCGCTCCCCAGCCTTGGATTCTAGCGGCAGCGGCGTGATCGAGGCGAGGCGAGGCGTGGCGTGCGGTTTTACGCGTGGAGCTCGCTCGTGGGGCCGTATCGCGGGTTGAGGCGGGGGCGGGTTAGGGGCTAGGAAGAAGGAGGGGGGCCGTGCTCTGCCTGGCCCCGCCCCGCCCCGGCCCACCATCCCTCCACCCGGCGGCGGCGGCGGCGCCTGGTCGATCGCTTGCTGCCTCCCTCCCTCTTTCCCCGGCAAGGCGAAGGGACTCGAGGCGAGCCG